GCTGAGGGCAGAGGCGGCTCCAAGGCGGCTGGAGGCGGTGGAGGCGGCGCCGGCGCTGCAGGGCGGCGCGCCGGGGAGCCAGGCTGCAGGGGGCCTGCGGGGCGGCTGGGCTGCGGGCGCGCGCGGGCAAGGCCGGGGGCGCCGCTGCGAGCTGGAGGAGGCTCGCGGACCGGCAGGGCAGCGGGCGAGCGGCGGAGGGGCGCGACGCGCTGAACTGGGGGCTCACCAGACGGCTGGCAGCAGGCGCGCGGGCGGCCGCTGGAGGCCGCTGCCCACAACCATCTCGGGGTCGGCTGCTCCCTAGGGCCGTCGGGCTTGCCAGGGGCGGACCCCTGGCTTGCCAGGGGCGTGGGCTCGTCCCCCCTGGGGAGAGAAAAGAGCACGGGCCCCCCGACGGGGGGGCAGCCCCCGTACCTGGCGCCGATGTCGGGGTGGTGTCGTGCGGCGGCGGCCTCCCCTGGCGGTGGGGCTGCACCGGAGGCGCCTGGCGGTGGGGCCGCACCGGAGGCGCCTGGCGGTGGGGCCGCGCCGGGGGCGGCGGCGGCGGCTGGGGCGCGTAGGTGGTGCGGACACGCGGTCCGCTGGAAGAGGAGGAGGAGGAGGAGGAGGAGGAGGAGGAGGAGGAGGAGGAGGAGGAGGAGGAGGTAGAGGAAAAGGAGGAAAAGGAGGAGAAGGAGGAGGAGGAGGAGAAGGAGGAGGAATCGAATTTGTGGAAGAGGGGGAGAGAGGAGAAAGAGGATGAGGATGAGGAGGAGAAGAGGAGGAGGAGGCAAAAGGGGGAGGAGGAGAAAGAGGAGGAGGATGCACTGCTTCATGATAGCCCAATCACTCGCCTGAGACGTATTCGCTCCTCTGGGCCCCGAAACGCCTTGAGATGTCAGCAGCTGGTGTTGTCCAGTCGCTCCCGCTCAGGAATTTCTCACCCATTCCGACTTGGCGGTGGCTCGCCCCGTGTCCACGCGCACGCGCACCGCCTGCATTCGAAACTACAAGAAACACGGTGCATGGCGCGAAGCGCCAATGCAGTGTTGTATGTATGGATATAGATATATGTAGGTATGGCGAACTGCGTGTGAGAGAGGCAGGGACGGGGACAGAGAGGCCTCGGACCACGCCGGCACCGTGCCTGGGTCGCGGACAAAGACAAACTGCCTCCTTATGTCTCCTAGAGGCATCGAGGACGCATCTTGGAGGCCGGCCTGGGGCCTGTTACGGTCCTCTTCAGGGCGTTTCGGGGACCTGTCGGCAATCTCGGAGGCCATCTTTGGGTGTGTGGGTCCACATGTCAGTTCGAGTATCCCCTCCTGGGCCTCTCTTGGGGCCTCTCTTGAACATTGCGCCCTCTTCCGGGTCTCAGGGGCCGCCATCGGAGCTCCTAAGACTGAAATGCCGACTATGGGGAATTCGTGCAACGTATTGTTTCCGACTAGTTTGGCTTCTTGGGCCAGCCCTCGAAGTCTCCAGGACAGTGCAAGATGCGCTCAAGGGGACCAATTGCGCTCTAGGCAAGCGTCGCTTGTGCAGCTGCCAGCTTCCGAATGTTCTCGCTTCGACGGTATCGGTAACCATCAGCGTCGCCCCGCCGCAGCGGCCACTCACACACGCTAGCTGTTGGGCAAATTTTCAGTTTCAGCGGAAGTGCTACGGACCGCTCCGAACGTTAGCGCCAACTCCGCGTATCCATTTGCATTTCGTCTTGCTGCGGGTCTGATCCAAGCCTTGATGCCTTGATTAAAATACTTCGGGGGTGGACAGACCTCCTACCCTGACACGTCGATTAAGGAATAAACCGTTTTCGGTTCGCGAGAGGGCGTCGCGGCCGTCATTTTTGCGGGTCCAGGTCCGTCGGTTTCGGTCCCAGGCCCATTTCGCTAAAGGGAGGTTTGCTACAGGGAGGTTTGTCCACCGCCGAATACTCACGCTCCGATGCGCATTTTCAGATGCCGTTGGACCCCACCAGGGTCCCCCCCACAACGAATTTCGGCCTCCCCAGGCCCCTGGACTCCCCATGCAGAGCGTTCCCTCGTCGTTCCTGGCCGCCTGGGCGTGACACGTGACGTCCCTTCTGGGTCTCGATCACGGGCCCAGCACGGTCAGGAAGACGGCCACGCGACCACGCGAGAACCCCAAGTGGCCGGCCCTGGACACCTCGAAGACGACCCAAGGAAAATCCCCAGTTTGGGGGTCTTCTTTGGGTCGCCAAGAGACCACCCACATACAACACGCTCTATGATTTTATTTTTCGGTTTTGCATGATTCTGGAATTCTCGGTTCCTCGGTCTGCCAGGTTTTCAAGACCGCCCCAAAGGCACTGAACATTGCATTCGCACGGGCTAAAAGTGCATTCGTAAATTCCAAGTGCCCCAAGACGGGCCAACCCAGACGGCCCGAAGAGAGCCCCATGACGGTCCATGATGGCCCCAAGACGCCATCCAAAGCATTCCAAATCGTGGCCCGGTCAAGGAGACCGTAATTCGCGCAAAGGTTGTCCCAAGGCCACCAGAGGCCCTATCATGCGCTTAGGAGGCTCCATCTGCCTCCACGGTGCCCCCAATAAACTTTCGCGAGGCCCCCCACGAAACCCTCCAAGGAGGCGCCTCCGCAACACAAGTGAGAAGGAAGACGGGACATGGTTCGCAGGGAAGGACGAAAACTGGAAGGGGAAGAAGGCATCTGAGAAGGGGTAGGCAAGCCAGATTTTCTGGAACAACGACGATACCGAGCACGGTAACAGTGACATATGACTATTCGTAGTCTTATTTCATCATTATCTTCTCTCTCTGTCTCTTTTATGCTATCTTCTCTTATCTTCTCTTCTCCTCTCCTCTCCTCTCTTCTCTTCTCTGCTCTCCTCTCCTCTCCTCTCCTCTCCTCTCTTCTCTTCTCTCCTCTTCTCTTCTTTTCTCTTTTCTTGCCTTTCTTCGCTTCTCGTCTCTTCGCTTTTGTTCTCTTCTCTTTTCTTATCTTTTTTGCTCTTTTCTTCTATATCCCTCTTCCCTTTCGCCTGCGTGTGAAGCTTGAAGGGCCAAGATGTATGGCGCGAAGCGCCATTGTAGTCTTGCGTGCGCATGTGCATATTCCCCAATCAGTGCTTGCACTGAAGGGATCCTAGCGGAAGTTGAAAGATTTGGCGAAAGTTTACCGCCGATTTTGGTAGCAGGCTGGGTTCCCGGGTTCCCGGGTTCCTGGTTATTGGTTCCGGGCCGATTTCGAGGAGCTCTGGGTTCCCGGGCTCCCGGGTTTCTGGTCGATCGTCTCAGCGAAAACCATCCATTGATTGGATTCTTCTGTGGTGTAATCTGTATCTATATATCTATAGCTTGATATGTACACGTTTTGCACCAGAGAAACGCCCCAATCAGTGGATGGTTTTCGCTGAGGAGATCGATTGGGAACCCGGGAGCCCGGGAACCTAGAACCCACTGAAAATGGCCCGGAATCAATAACCGGGAACCCGGGAACCCGGAACCGGGAACCCGGGAACCCATCTTGCTACCAAATTCGGCGGGAAATTTTCGCCAAATTTTTCAATTTCCGCTAGGACTCCCGCTTCAGTGCAAGCGCTGATTGGGGAATGTATGCACGTGTATCTATAATGCGATGCTGCTATTTGTAGATTTTTCAATGCGGGGTTCCCAGAACTCCCGACCCCTTCCCCAGGGGTGTCTTTTCGTCCCAGATGGTTTGTTTTTGATGGCCGCGCGGGGCCCAGAAACAGGATTCTGGACGACCAAGATAGCAGAACCAAGCTCCCCCCTTGATTTTTCAAGGTATGGGGACCTCGCCCTGCCAGGTGCGTCCAGGGTCACTCTCGATCTGGTCGATCTGGTTCGAAATCGGTTCCGGCCATGTTTGGATCCTGGCGCGCCCGATCGGATTCGATTCCGACTCCGGGCCAATGCAGCCCGATCCGACGCACAGTTCGATTCGATCTGATTTCCCAACTCGATGCTGACTGATCCTGACGTCTAGCAGGATCCCCTCGCTAGAGGAGAACCAAACGTCTGTAACTCGAGGTCGAGGACGAGTAACTCAGCCTCGAGACGGGGGTGAATGCAAACTGGGGTCAGCCAGGGCGCCCGATCTTGCAGGATCCTGCAAAGCCAGGGTTTCACTGACCAAGGTCAGCGCGCAAGATCCTGCAGGATCCTGCAGGACCTTGTCGGATCCTACAAAAGCTCGACTGACTCGAGTTAGCAGTGACTCGGGTAAGTAGATCCCCGAACGAGTAAGGAGGAGGAGGAGGAGGAGGAGGAGGAGGAGGAGGAGGAGGACGAACTGTTGAGGATGACAACGGCGACTGCGACAGTGGCGGCGGCGGCGTCGGCGTACTGGCCTCAAGAATCGCACTCGGACACCAAAGCCTCGATTCTCGGACCTCGATCCCCGAGGTACGTCCAGCAGGTACCCCCGCGCTGGACGATAACCAATTGTCTATACAGTCAACCCGCATAGTGAGGATGAGCGACTTGCCAAGTTTACCCTTGAATCCTCCCCCTTGGACCCATTCTTGGCCGCTTTCGCTGGCCCGGCCCCGCCCGCAAAGTGTCGATATGTCCTTCCAAGGCCCTTGCATCCTTACCGTGCGTCTGTATAATACGGGTTCACTGTACCCCCGCGCCGGAGGGGAACCAGTTGCCGATAGCTTGAGCCCGAGGATGGAGATCGACGGCGACATTGACGTTGACGAGGACAACGACGAAGTCGACGGCGGCGGCGACGGCGACCTCGCCCGTTGCGGGTACGTCCTGCAGGGCCCCCAGGAGATCTCTAGAGGCTCCGGGGGGCACAAGACGAGCCCCACAAGCGTCCCCTCAAATCTTCGGTCCTCGAGTCCCAATGGCTCTGACCATCGGTCCCGGGTCCCCTCCGGGGGTCCTCCTGACCGGGATTTCGGGGCGGTTCCAGCCGTGGCGACGAGAAGCCCCGAGGAGGCCCAAACGGGCGAGGAACGCCAGAGAGGGCCAGCTTTCTCGCGACTGGCCCACCTCCGAGAGCAGGTACGTTCAGCAGGTGCCCCCGGAGATCTGCGCGCCGCGACACGCGATGAAGCTGAAGGCAGCCTGGGCCAACAAGATGAAGGAGGCGGCGTGCGTCGAG